GCCTGGCCGGGCACATGGCTGGGTCGGGGAGTCTCTTTCCTGCGGCTCTGCCCTGCCCTGAGGCGGCTCGGGCGCGTCCCGGGAGTGAGTTTGAGCTGCTCAGCCATTCCCAGAGCTGAGTCTCAGGAAAAAGCAGGTGAAGCCGGAAGGCTGCGTTCAGGGAACGCTTCAAAAGTGTCTCTCTCCGATGGGTACTCTACAGTCAAAATATAACTCACGTATGCGGTGGCAAAATTATACCTAATTTATGGGACTTACAGGAGCAGCTGGAACGATGTAATGGCGCTGTAAAGCACAGAGCTATGCACGTTATCAGCATCTCCCTCGGGGTCAAGGTCAATGTGGAATCACACAATACTCAGAGTTGGAAGGTACCCACTAGAACCATCGAGTGCAACTCTTGGCTCTGCACATGACATCCCTGAGAATCACACCATGTGTCTGGTGGCACTGCAAATGCCAGAGCTGCAGTGAGGCTTTGGTGTTAGTTTGCTTCATGAGCAGAAAAAGTGAAAGCATTTCAGTGTTAGCCTTAGTTTTGTTAAAGGCAATAAAATGTGAGCAGTTGTAATAAAAACTTGGAGCAGTGTCCTGTGACTGAGCACAAAGCAGCAGGTTTGGGATACAGCAGAAGACAATTTGTGTGTCTGTGTCTTGTGCAGCTGTAGTTACGTGAATGTGGCTCTGCAGAGATTGGGCATCTGGCACTGAACAGAGCTTTGCATCACTGCTCAGGGACTTTTTGTGTACATAGTGATCAGGTGTGAGAGATCTGTTAGAAAGTGCTGCTTTCAGCATGATCTGGGTCGAAAACACAAAGTGTCTGTACTGATTCACGTTCAGGGTTGTTATTCTAAGCTGCACTTATTCATTAAAACTATTTTAGAGCCATCATACTCCAAATTTAATTCATTACAGATTTTTGTGATAAGAGTTTTCCATGTATAACTTGTTGTCCTTTGAAATTAGTGCTTTAAGAGAAGCCTCGGGTATGAGTTTGGTGATAATAATTTGGAGTTATAACAGTGAACAGCTCCAGTTGCTTTTTCCCTCTGATGTTTTCAATTACCCGACCTGTAGCGTGGAATGTCATTAATTTACTTTTGCTGTATTAATGTGACTCCCAAACTGTGGTTTGTTTTAGGTGCTCTTCCAGTAACACACCTCTGGGAAAGGTTGTGGACAGTTCAGAAGGTAAGATGTCTTCATTACTTGTTTGTTTTAATCTCCAGACATCACAGTGTGTCAGGAGACAGAAAGACACGAACACTCTCTCTCTTCTTGGGTTTTCTTTTCCTCTGTCTTCATTGTGCAGAAATTTCCTGAGTTAATTTACCTTCATCACCAGCCAGCTCAGTGCTCCAAGAGCATGAACTGAGCTGTTCAGCTGCCCTTTGAAATGGAATAAACTGTGAAATAAGAATAAGAAGTTTTCCACCTTGATCCTGACAGTTTCCTTCATGTTCTTATTGCTTCTTTGTGCTCCTTATTGCATTTCTTAGAATCACAGAATGTTGAGGGGTTGGAATGGACCTTAAAGGTCATCTAGTCCCACCCACCCCTGCCATGGGCAGTATTTCTGCTGTGAGTTTTTTGAGATCTTTGGAAAAGCTGGGAAATAGATCCTTATGTGGAAGGAGCTGAGTAATTGGTGCCAGTCTGTTGGGCAGAAACTTGAGAGAGCACTTGGCTGAGCTGGAGAAGCCAGGTGGGCAGAGATGGCAAACTGGAAACTGTGGGACTCAGAGTAGGAAAGTAAGGGACTGGAGAAGTTGGGACTCAGATTAGAAGATGCAGGATAAGGAAGAGGCCGAAATGGGTAAATGGATACAATCTCTTCAGCATTTGTTTAACACAGGACCCTGGTCCTGTCTTGGCACAAGACACTGAAGCTCCCTGCCAGCCTTTTCTGTTACAGTAAATTGTGGCCTATATTAGGCTGTGGTTTTCTAAATCCTTGTTTTAGTACTTGCAGCTGGGTCAGCTTAAACCATAGAATCATTTGGATTGGAAAAGACCTCCAAGATCATGAAGTCCAATGTTTAACCTAGCACTACCAAGTCCACCACTAAACCATGTCCCCAAGTGCCACATCTATGTGATTTTTAAATCACTGCAGGGATGGCGGCAACACCACTGCCCTGGACTGCCTGTGCCAGGGCTTGGCAACTCTTTTGGGGAAGAAATTTTTTCCTAATATCCAACCTAAACCTCCTCTGGTACAACTTCAGGCCATTTCCTCTTGTCCTATTGCTTGTTATCTGAGAGAAGATACTGATCCCCACCTTGCTACAACCATGACTCTGCTCTGGTGAAGTGATTCTCTGGAATTATTGGAGAGTAGTCCAATCTTGGCCACTGCTTGTCTGACCTGTCGCATTGGTGATAAGAAGAACAAATGGTTTCTTGAACAGGAAGCTGATGAAATCCTTTTTTAAGTTTTAGATCTGTTTCACAGAAAGTGAAACACACAAAGATTTTCTTAGCGCATCTGTTTCTAATAATCATTTTAATCTTGTTTCTCATAGCTATTCAAGAAGAAATTGTGCTCCCCCGAAGGAAGACGTGGTGAGTGTTTACTTTTGGAATATCTCTTGACCTGGAAGAAAATCAGTGTAAGCTAAATGTAGTCTGTCCACCAAACTTGAAAAAGAAAATTCAAGTTCATGTATTCC